ACTTGGTAATGGCTACAATGCGTGCCAGTTGAGCACGGATTACTTTGTCTATGTCACGTAGAATGGAGAAGACGACAACGTAAAGAATTATATATTATATAGACAGAGTCCGCCAAAAAGATGTGTGAAAGTCAAAAAGTAGCGGTTTTTTAAGGAAAATGGTTTATAGGTATTAGTCATTAATTTACAAAAATACATTATGAATAATAAAAACAACATATTATATATTTTGTATTTTTATGCATTAGTAATATTTCCTTTGAAAGAGAAATAGCACAATATTAGTCCTAGTGTAGTATTATATGCCTAATCTGTGATATTAGGTTATATATTTTTCTTATTATAATAAAATCCGTTAACTTTTTTATTTATTATGATTTATTTACTTACCGCTACTATTGTATTCATATTTGTATTCTGTTTATATATATATATATATATATATATATATATATATATATATATATAATATAATATAATAAATTGTAACTAAGCCGAATCTGTACATTAAATTCTATTGAAATAGACATTATTATCGATACAGAAGCTGAATCTATAGTTTTTAGAATTTTTGTCTGTCTGTCTGTCTGTTACCGCATCACAGAAAACCACTGGAGGGGTTTTGATTAAATTTGGTATGGTGATAGCTGGTTATCCGGGTCAACATACAGTATACTTTATACCGCGGGAAAATATATCATTTCCGAGAAAAAAATACAAAATCTGCATTGTAAGAGTATACTAATATGTAAAACCTAATAATTTGGTTTTTGGTCATCTGAACGCGGGCGGAACCGCGGGCATTGCTAGTATATATATTATATACAAACGCTAATTGTTAATGCTCTGTGCACGGCACGCGACGGTGTCGGTCAGTGACGGAACGGTCTAGTGGGCAGTCTCATAATTTTCAATACAAAGAATATTTTTTTGCCTGACACAATCCTAGCACGGTCATGGTATGGTCAAAATTACGAAAAAAAATATTACCTTCAGTATTAAAAGTGTATAATTTTAATTTATTATAAAGTAAATTATGATAGACAAGTAGTCAAATACCAATATCTACACAAGATTTGCTAAGTTTATATCTGTTTGATAATTATCGGATATTTATCTGATATATAATTTGTTTCCTTTGTCTGTGCGTTTGTGCGCGCAAGTCTCAGAATCGGTTTAACCGATTTGAGTGCGGTTTTCACCAATGTATTTTGGTAAGCTTCACTTAACGTTTAGTTTTTTATTTTAATCGGTTCTTAAATAAAAAAAGTTAGGTAAACTTAAAATAATCACTAAATAAAACATTTGAATCAGGAATCATGTATTTATTTAATACAATATGTCACAATTAATAAATTATTCTATAATTAGACACATATCTAACACTAAGGTACCGACATTTGAAATTTTAAGCGTCAATAAACATTCTTCGACACCAAAATTGGGTAACAAAAATTAAGTTGTGAATTTTAAATATGGATATAAAATATTAATTTTCTTAAATATTTCGGATTATTTTATATTTATATTTTTCTGATATATTTAGCAATCGAAAAATGTTCAAAGACCATAATATTATAATCAGATCTTTATATTTAATTGTACATTTGTGACAAAGAGATGAAGTATTATAGAAATAGTAAACTACTCAATTACGACGAATATTTCCTAAAACAATTCAATTTATCCTTTCAGTGTTGTCCGACCAAAATATTTTAGAGAGATAAAATTTTCAAAAAAAAAGAAAAATCGTTTTATGGAATATTTAATTTAAATAACTATTATTTTTTATCTGTATTGCATATTCATTAATATTATGGCAATACCCAGGTCACAATTAAACAATCTATCTTAAAAATTTAGCACTCTTCGTTCCATCACTACATAGAACATCAAATTTAAATACTAACACGACATATATTTTTAACTTAGTAGCAAAATGAAATAATTATAAAGGCCAGATTTGCAATAATATATTTTATATAGTAATCTCCACCAACTCGCACTTGGCCAGCGTGATGGACTGTGGCTTTATTCTCCTCATATTAAGGGAAGTCCCGTACCCGTTATACAGGGTTGAATTATGATTATTATATTATAGTACTGAAATAATACAAAAATGGAAGGAGAAGCTGTCGTAATAACTTAATAAGATTTACTTAATAAGTTAATTTACATCTTAAGCTATTAAAAGATTTAGTGTGGAGACAGGGCTTGATTTAGAGATATGGAGGACCTGGGGCAAAGTGAAAGTTTTTTACCCGACTGCGGCGAAGCCCAAAGGAGGGTTATGTGTTTGACCTGTATGTATGTATGTTTTAATAAAAGAAACATAGTATTATGCAGTCGGAGACACACAAATATACATGTAGCAAGATCGGCAGCTAGTATAAAACATGTATCAACGTCAACTTGTTCTCATCTTTTTTGTTCGCTTTTCACACAGTCGGGTTTTTTATTTTTGTAAATTACTTTTTGTACTTTTCTAATGTAACGAATTCATAAAAATAATACCTAAAATATTAATTTTAATATTATAATATAATTAAAGGCCAGTTGGGTGTGGAACAAGCCTAATGTGACCTTATAAATTATTTCATTCCACTAGCATTGTACCTAACACGTATCGACAATATTTATGTCAACGACAAATAAATCTATCGCACGTTAAACATTTTGCTGTCCGACGGCAAATAAGAATAAAAGCTATCAATTGAACAACAATAAACAAAATCATTTGGTCCTTAGAATACTTTTGTGTAAACGTAAGGTACATCAACGTAAAATACTATTTTTTTCAAAGCATTTCAATATGTATAATTATACTTCAACTAATTAATATTTAAATATATGTTTAAGCTGTTGACTGCGAACAGACATTCATATATTTATTATATACTCTGGTAGGACGTCGGTATAGGAATACGTATATAACCAATGAAATTTCATCGATTTCTATGAACAATTTTAACGCACACGCACTGATTTCAAACTAAACGTACACAATCAAACGTCAAATCAAAAATCAACGTAAAATTATAACGTAACATAAAAATCACATAAATAAATCACAAAAACTTAACAAATTACTACATATTAAAAAAAATAAAACGTAACTGTCAAGATGAAGTCCACAATAAGCAAAGATCCTGAAAGGGTCCAGGTCCAGGTGGACATAATTAAAAAAAAAAACCTTAATGTCGTAATAATGCATTTATAAAAGAGAAAGATAAGAAAGAATATTTAATAAAAAAAAATAAGTATATAGCTTCGTCAATGTATGTATATATGTATATACTATATATGTATATATACTGTATACCATATAAGTTGACAAAATATAGCATAAGCGACATCTAAATTAAATTTAATTATATATAACATACATTATATTAACATCGCACTTCATGCATTTATTTCGACAGTGAATATTCCATAGACTATAGTTTTCATTATATTATGTACTTTATTTCATAAATTATGGGAAAAATATAACATAGCTTCTTATAAAGCATATACCTCCATCTTGACATAAATTAATTATTAAATTTTTATTTAATAATAAAACAAAGGTAGAATTTAATTAAACTAAATTAAATCTAAGTGATTTTTCATTTTACTTAATGATTAAAACGTTTATATTTGCATTATCTAGCACAAATAGTTACCGTAGCGTAAGTATTTTCTCTATATTTACCCCAATTTATATGAAATCATATGAATGAATTACAATTACTAAAAAGCAGGAAAAATAGTTTTAAATTATTAGTAATACGATAATATATGATAGAGTGTAGAGAAAAAATATATTACAATATTATTACACTATAAAACATACGTATTCGTTTTATTTCTATTAAAAAAAAAACATTGTTTTATAGCCGACTTTCATATATTATAAGAAAACTTGAATTTAATTTTATAATACATGTAAAATATACAATATTAACCCGTAGCTGAAACTAACCAAGAAATATTTTAATGTAATTATAATATATGCCTTAATATATAAAATGAATGCTTGAACGAATGAATGAATGGAAGTCTCACTTGAGATATATCAAGTAAAATACGTAGAAAAATATTTATATAACGTTCGAAATAAGGATACAGTTCGAAATATTTAGCACATAATAAAGCAGTCGATTTTCAGTCTAAAATCTAAATAATAGAAAGAAATGCAAATTCCCTGTTTTATCCAATTCGTGAAATCCAAATTGACTATACATTTTTAATAAAAAAATAGCGTAAATTATCAAATGTTTATGTTGTTAATTATTTTTAGAATTTTAAACAATCGAAATTTATATTATTATTATTTATATGCATTTAATTGAAGAAATTGATAGTTAAAAAATAAGCATTATGTATATATATCTAGATTAAACATACTAGTTCTCAATAGAAAGTTCTTCAAGATACAAGATCAGAATAAAATATTTAATCATATTATTAAATAATGTAGCATTAATAATCCCTTCAAAATCCCAAAAAAAATAACACGGCTACGGAATCGTAGAATTTCCAATGCTTTCATTTTAATAACCATTTTAAATATATCCGTTCTGATAATATTATATATTATGTACTATAGATGAATTGAAATGAGTACGCAATAAAGACTAGAATACGCTGTTTCGACGAACAGTCCAAGATATGTCCAACCTTAGTGTAGTGTCACACTTAAATATAAAAAAAAACTATTATATTTCTCGGTGGGTGAACAATAATACATAAAAAATTGTTAGTTGTAAAATTACATAAAATATATTATATAGAAAAACTTAAAAAATAATATTTTAGAATAAAATAAACATATACAGCTATTTAGTTATTTAAAGAATCAATTACTTCTCATAGTAATACATACCATATATTAACGTACTATAACAACTCATTATATAAACCTTTACAAATCACATAGAAAAGTTAAATAAGTGTGACACCACACTTACAATGTCTGTCAAATATCTGTCAATGTCAGACCTGCGATGGATCTAAGGTACCATGTTGAGAATGTTTCTATTCTCGAGCGACTCTTTCAGGGCGTAGAACAGTTGCAATTGTTGTTCTGGCTTCAAATTGTACACCTGTAATTTAATATATAAATACTTCACGAACGACATAATAATGTGTTATATTATATTATACTAGCGACTCACCCTCGTTTCGCTCGGGTTCGTCCCTAGCTTGATTCCCCATACAAATTTTCATCACCATTTTCACCCCTTTAAGGGATGATTTCCGGGATAAAAAGTATCCTATCTCCTTCCCGGGGTCTCAAACTATCTTCTTATCAAATTTCATCTAAATGGGTTCAGTAGATCCAAAGATTATCTCCTACAACGTCACAAACTCACAAACTCAACGTTTTTATAATATTAGTATAGATTTATTATATAAGGCAATAAAAACTAAGTAAAATGGACTCTCAAAGTCCGGATCTCGCATTTCTGATATTCTCACGTGCATAAGTAAAGCTACGAGGTTTGTGTACCATAAAGTTGATCACTTCACATATATAACTTTAAATACATACATATTATAAAATTATGAACACCCATGACTGGAGTACAAACAATCTTGCTCATCACACAAATGAATGCCACGGAAAATTTAGCTCTATAAAGAGCTGTAGCAGTCCGTCTAAACAGTGACGATCAGTTCTGAAACTCCAACTTGTACAGCAGAAAGGCAGTTCATGTACCTGTTGCAGCAGTTTCTGGGGCGTGGCGGTGCGTATGAAGCTGGTGATGTAGACGTTGACGAAGGTGGCCATCAGGAACTGGCAGTCGAAGCGATCCATGATGCCGCCATGACCCGGAATCACGTCACCAAAGTCCTGTAGCAATAATATTTTTAATATCAATATTAATCTTTTGTATCAATACTAGGGACTAAGTACGCTTCGCTCCTAAAAGGTAGTGTGTTACTCATGGTCCATGGTCTTCCTATGTACTAAGCATAGTAACAAACATACACACACACACGCATACACACAAACTTTCGCATATATCATAATAGTCTGATTATAAATGTTTCTATCTATTTAGATGGAAAATGTAAAAGTATAATAATTATCGAACTTTATATGAAACTTAATTTATTTTAAAACAATTAAAATTTAATAGTAAAAATACATATTTTATATTCAATAAGTTATGATAAAGTATTTTAGACTTTTTTTTATTACTTCATATTATATTCTCCATAAAAGCCTCAAAACACTATAACCTAAAGAAAAATAAGTTTACAAAAGAACAAACCTTAATTTTGAAAGCACGTTTGAACCCAGAAGCAAAGAAACCTCCAAACGGTCCGATGACCGAGCTAAAGATGCTGAGCGCCAACGAGTGGATCATGAATGGGTACATGGTCATTTTGTCACGACCAAACTGGAACAGAAGAAAAATCAAAACTTTACATATACGCACTACTTCAGTCACGTATTACTCTAAAGGCACTTATAGCTCAGTGGTAACGCACTCGCTTGGGAAACTGAGTGTAGTAGTTCAAATCCCAGGTCTCGCACCTGTGACATTTACATGTGCCAATCATTTCTAACGTGATAACCACCTGATCTCTTGGGTACTGAAAGAGATTTGGGATTTGAACCCAGAACCTCCAGATCTGCGGCCGTACTCCCCACTAGATCAAAGAGGCAGTTCTTATTATAAAAAAACTCATAAATTATTCAAAAATAGAGCTCATTAGAAAAAAATATACTTACAACTTTCATGACTGGCTGTAAGAATTGCGGCGGGGTATATTCTTGCAGACGGAACAGTGACGACGGCTCGCAGTCCATGGTCATGCGGCCTAACGACTCCGAGTACTCGATTGGACATACTAGATACGGATATTGCGACATCATGTAGGCCAACTGAAAGTAAATAAATAATATTCAAAGAAAAAAATTAATTATGATTTGTTTTTAGACGTCTTGATATGCACTCTAAAACTCAGGGATGTAACACCATTAAGTATCCAACCTCGATTCCGAACGCTAATAACACTTTTCTGACAGAATTAAAAGCTTTATTGCTGCAACCCTGATTTCGAACCTAGGACTTCAAGAAACGCCACAGTAAATGCCAGTGTCTATACCTGCGGGCAGTCAAATTACAATGTAGGGTCACTGTCTTATTATAAAAAATACTTGAGAACGTGAAGAGTGTCGATATAATATAGTAGCTATCTTAATATATAAAAAATAATTTACGTCTTAGAAGCCGTCTGTCCGATTACGATCAAACATTAAAAAAAAATTGTATCCACGACCGGAATATTTGCGAAATGGTTCCATCATTATACGAGAGATGGCGAGCATGTTGTATGGGAAGAATATGAAATTTATTTTTATGCCGTCGTTTAAGGAAAATTACGAGTATAATCATTTTTTATTGTATACGTAATTAAAATTTTATTAGGATCAAATATTTATGTATCAAAATAAGACAATATAATATTATGTGGATAAAGTGCAAACGAAGAAAATCATAAAATGATTATTAATTATTAATGCTGTGGTCAATATATAGGTACGTTGTATTTTGAAAATGGCAGAGTATCTGCGGGGCCGGTTATTATCTATACTAATATTATAAAGAGGCAGAGTTTGTTTGTTTGAACGCGCTAATTTCAGGAACTACTAATTCGATGTAAAAAAATCTTCTTGCATTAGAAAACCCGTTTATTGAGGAAAGCTATAGGCTATATATTATTATCATGCTACTACCAAAGGGAGCGGAGCAGTAATCATAAATGTCAACAAATCGGGCAGACTTCCGTGCACTATTATTATGCCATAAAACTAAAGAGGTTTTTTTTGTAGTTTTAGCAAGAGCAAAGCCGCAGGTTCTGCTAGTGTCATATATAAAAAATACGATATATACATATAAAACTCTATTAGCCCTCTAGATAGAGTTAACAAAACTGAAAAATCTAACATATCTAATGCTACTTGGAACCTATTAACTTTCTTTTTCATGTTAATTATTACAATATGTTTTAATTATATATGCACATTAAAATGTCAAGTACAAGGATAACGTCATATTTATGATACTTTAATGTGAGTTGACTCCTGTGTAAAAATAACTATATTTGTTATTTTTATGACATATAAGTAGTAAAACTTTTCAGCGTATATCTTATAATTATTAAACTTATACAAAAATAAATACGTAAAGACGACAGCAGAAAGTGTAAAAAGCAAAAAAAACTTTGAAATTAAGTCCGCTTTAATGGGTGCCAACAAATAGCCTATGTGTTACTCGCGGTCATAGCCTGTGTACAAATTTTCATCCAAATCGGACAAGCCGTTTCAGCGTGAAAAACAAACATACAACCTACTTTTGCATATACATAATAGTAGTCCGATAATATAAAAACTAATGTATTAGTCGCAGTCGATACGTTAATTATCAATAATAAATTACTATACGATATTATATGTACATTACACAGTTATATAAAAGCTGTGCCATATTAAAATAGCCAAGGCAACCAGTTCGTTCGCTTGTCATGCATTTAAAGTAGTAATTGTATAGCCGTATAGTAATGAATACATAAAAACTGAATCTAAACAATAAAAGAAATCGATTTTCTAGCGATATTTTTATGTACATATATACATAATATGTATTATTTTCTATGTCATATATTACACCGAGAAAAGAAGATTGAATATTTGAATAGTTAAAAACATAAAGACCACTCAATAGCCATACAGATTATCATGTGTACAAAGTTTCATTAAAATGCGACCAGCCGTTCGTTAGTGATTGAGTCGGATTGAAACAAACAATAGCAAACAGTAGATATAGGTTTTTCATACTTTTATCTATTTATTTGGTACATTTACAATCACGACAGGTACCTTGATATAAACGACACAAATATGCATAGAATTATTTAACATAGTGATTAGTTACTTATAAACAGACACGGTCTTATTGGAAATATTACAATTTAGACGTTTTAAAGTATATAATTGAAGCGTACTTCAATTATAATTTTTTGGATATATATACACCTACTTGATTGAAAATGATTGATATAAAAGGGTTTAGAGTAAAAGAACATACCACTAGTCCAAAAACAACAGTAGAGACTCCTCCACCTATGAAGCCTTCCCACGTTTTCTTAGGGCTTAGTTTGATCAGAGGAGTCTTGCCAAAGAAGAAACCGAACACGTAGGCCATCACATCGTTGCAGATAATCATAGAAACTGGTACTATGAACCAGATAAGACCTGAAAAATAATAACAAACATAATTTTTAAGTTATTCTAGAATAAAAAATTTAATAATGCATGCAAAGTACTTCCCATATAATTAATAAAGATTATATATTATCCATCATCAAGTAATGATTTCCCATAACTAATACGTTATAAATCGTACGATTTTTTGTATATTTTGAATATATTTTGAAAATAATACATTTTTTAGGATAAATTTCTTTGAAGTACTACAGTTATTATTACCCTACGCTTATAATATACGGTTAGAGCAAAAATATGTTGTCACACAATGTTTGTAAATCATAGGAAAATTCATAAGTGAAAAAGAACGGTTATCAAATGTCCTGTCTAATAGTACCTGCAGTCTACACATTCCCCATCATATTCCATGACATTCCCCATCATGTTTCAGGATAAGATAAGGTAGCATGTACCACTATGCAGCCGAAAAATCATGCAAAAAATTATATCGAATCCGTTATGGTGGTACAAAGAACACACATGAAAAACATAACCATCCTTACTTATATTTTATACTAGCATTGCTCGCAGCTTCGCCTGCGTTCAGATGACCAAAAACCAAATTCTTAGGTTTTACATATTAGTATACTCTTACATTGCAATTTTTGTATTTTTTCTCAGATATGATATATTTTCCCACGGTAAAAAGTATCCTATATGTTGACCCGGACAACCAATATCACCATACCAAATTTGATCAAAATACCTCCAGTGGTTTTTCTGTGATGCGGTAACAGACAGACAAACTGACAGACAGACAGACCAACAGACAAAAATTTTAATAACTATAAATTCGGCCTCTGTATCGATAATAATGTTTATTTCAATAAGATTTTCCAAAATAATATTTTATGTATAGATTCGGTTTAGTTACAATTTTATTAAATGTATAGATTATATACTTATTTAAAAAAAAAACTATTAAAAAGTTATGTTATGATTATAACAATTTATAAGCTAGTGACTTAAGGCGAGTCACTAGCTTATAAATTGTTATAAGCACTAGCAAAAACATTCTTTTCCTTATGTGTATGTGAACTCCCATATTATAAAGTTTGTTCTAATCCCCATAAAGCAATATTAGTCATTATTTCAGTTCAGTCTATTAGTTTAACGAAATTCATTAGGTTATATTGTTATATGTATAAATATATTACATAATTAACATACAATGCAGTTTTACATAGATCGAGCGTAATTTGAATAATTTTAAATTCCAGTTGTTCCATTTCGTCGTGACAGCAATTTATTTACAAGGGTAAATATTTTATATATAGAATATAATATATAAAATGATTATATTTACGTATTTATCTATATTAATATTATAAAGGAAAACTGTGTGAGTTCGAATTTAAGAGGCAAACTTCGAAACAGTTAATTAGTCCGATTCTTAAACTCTTTCACGACAAAAATCGCCATTATTCCTTAGACTACTTTATTCTGATATTTTACTTATATTATAAAAAGTTCAGACGTTTGGATGTATGGATGTTTGTTACTCAATCACGCCAGAACGGCTGAACGGATCTGGATAAAAGGCACAGAGATAGATTAAAGCACATACTATTTAGTCCGGAAAAATGTACTGTTCCCGTTTTTGTTTTTCTATATATTTTTCTCCAATATATTTTTAAGTGGTTTCAAAAAGGAAAATATCCAATATAGTCGTATGTTTGTTTGTTTGCGTAAATTACAAAATATTATCGGCAATTGTGATCTATAATTAATACTTATATACAAAGAATCGTATAAAATGCTGGAAAAATATACTTAAAAAAAAGTAGAAAAGATAAACTTTTTCGATAAACACACCTATAATAAAGATAAATTCTATGATATACAAATATATCAGCAAATTGTGTCGGAAGTGGTGAGTAAGCAACGTTTTTCGATCTTCATGTTTAGTAGGTAGGTACTGTTGTATAGAATGGGACAGATTGACGGTATTTGAATGAAACCTTCATTTGAATGGGCATTCAAAATATACAGAATAGAAAACTTATTACAATATACATAATAGAATTATTTACTATTTACGAAGACGTTTACGATACATTGATATGAACTTTTCAGCGATTTCAAGAAATGAGTGTTTTGTGTGTTACGCGATATTAAAACCAAAATTGAGAAAATTTTCATAAAATCTCTTTTTCATAGATAAGTCTCAAGGGTGGCCTATTATGGTGTCCTTGTACTTATTTTATCTCTCTTAAAATATAAAAATCGCACTCTCTTGAGCATTGTTTGCTATTCCGTGTAGTTCCAGATTAACGGCCCATAAAAATTAACACTATCTATAATATGTATATTGTGTAATTCTAAATCATAATCGTCAAGGAAACTGTTATTATTTATTGTATAACTTAAATTATCAAACCTATTTATCAAACCTACTTTTAACAATAATACAAGAAAAGCAAAATTCTTTTAAATAGAAAAGTTATGCTTCGCTATAATATTTTACTTAAAATATTATTTATTTTTATAAATATCATCTAAGAATCTAAGATATAGATATATTTAATCAATAATTAATTTTCATGGAAACACACGAGAACTATGACGTAATAGACCAAACCAAAGAGGGGACCACCAAGAGGATAAAATCATACACCGTCTAAGAATAGCTTATTGTTTACGGAGCAATGTGTACGTTTAGTATGAAATATAATGCACGGACGTTCAAATTTAAACTGCTTCATCATCATCTAAATATGCGGGAAACATTACATAAGTAAATTGTCGAATAATTTACAAAATTTATAGCATAGGTATGAACTATAGTACAGATATTTTTTAAGAAAATGAATTTTAGCAAATCCAATACATTGGTATATATACTATGTAGTTATAGAGATAATAACATAATAAATCTTAATCCGCGGACACGCCGGCGTGTAAGCTAACAATAGATTTCTTAGAATTAAAATTAATTTCATAGAATTAAAATTAATTTCTTAGAAATTTACCTGGAGGTGTTAATTTCCAGAATATTATAACATTTCTAAGTAGAAAGTCTCATGTTTGATTTTTAATTCGAATTAATGATGCCTACTATTACCCATACAAATTATAATTATCGATTCGGCACTACATTCGTGAACGTGAACGTATGATGACATAACTGATACCGCTTTTTCAAATAAAGATAAAATTGTATTTTTATTTTATCGATATTTCATCAATATTTTTTAACCTTTGTGTAGACAAAATAACTAGGAACATTTAGTTTTAATCTTAATACTTAAATAGAAATGAAATGCTGTTCGTTGGAGCGTTGATATGCCCAAGTAATATTGAGATGGATTAGACGATTTAGTTATTTTTTTATAAAGTGGTCGCAATATTTCGAATAAGGATTTTATGGAAAAAAATAAGAAAATTTTCTCCGAAAATTGGGAAGCTCGGAAAAAACTTAATGTGTTTTTCCTATAGGATTTTTGTATAAACACAAAGATCGTAAACAGCCAGTTAAATAAACATTCAAAGTAACTAATTTTCTACCAGAAAATTAACGTAAAAAATCAGTACACTTGAACATGCAAACAAAGTAAGAACCAGCTGTTCAATCGAAGGTTATTGACCCGTTATCAGCGTGAGAAAATTGTCGTCGTTATCGATCCAATAATTAATAACAATGTAAGACCATATTATTAAGGTCATCTCATCATTGGTGCTTGATTACTTCTAAAGAGAGAAACATAATATTTTTTGGTATTTTTATTTTATTTTAGGCTTGCCAGCAATTTTTTAATTTATCCGTATAACTATTACAAATCAATAGAAAAATATAATAATTTCAAATTTATTTAAATTTAGAAAAAATTGTACATATTTAAGATTATTTTAAGAAGTGGAATATTTTAAGCGTGATAATTATTAGAGACGTTGTTATTGCAATACTAGTTGATTCGTAGCACAAATAAAAAAATTGAATACGTTGCAAAAAACATATTGAATACATTTTTAATTTTAATAATAATCTTAACTGTACATAATTTATTTACATAAATTATTTTAATTAAATATTTATTCCCACAACATTGTTTTTGTTAAAAATATAAAAATAATTTTCAATGAAATAGAAGTTGTTGCTGAATATTTTTAAGAATGCCAGTTACTAGTATAGGCCTATTGCGTAAAGGAAACGTCGTTTACGGCATAATGGAAGATATGTGAAATCATTTTACATATAAACACGTGTTACAGTTTCGCTGTAACAGAGTTCGAGTTCGAGTTCGAGTAAAAGTTAATTCGAGATCAAATTATTATTGGAAAGGGTTTTTTATGAATACATGAATATAATAAATAACCTATACAGGTAAATAAAATTGAAGTGCCTCTTTGTAATGTCAAAATAACAGCCTTTTATTAAAGACATATGAAAGTATATAGGTACGGTACATTTCATTAGTAAAAAGGACACAATTTTCAAAATTTTGTCTGTCTGCTAATCTCCGAAACGGCTAGACCGATTTTAACGAGACTTTCACTGGCAGATAGCTGATGTTATAAGGAGTAACTTAGACTACTTTTATTTTAGAAGAAAAAACAGGGTTCCGTGCAAAAAAATTTAACACCCATGAAATTGTAAACAAATCAGCGCTCCTAGGGACGCACCCAAGCGAAGCAAGAGTAAGTCGCTAGTTATAAATAAAATTTGTACGGAATTATGAGCGGGCTTACATTATATACATTTGATATAATATCTTTATATACATAATAGAGTAAGGAAAATCACGTATTAATATAAAATATTTTTGGTCAGAGTTATTAGTTAACATGGATAAAATGATGCATATTTTCTAATAAATCCTATTTAGCTACAGGGTTGGTACTCTTCATAAAAACCAATTATTACCAATTTTATAAAAAACTTACAATAAACAAAAACTAAAACTTGGCTATTTTGCAATCTCGTTGTAAAAGTATACTATTTTTTCCCTATCCAGACGTGTCCCTACATATTAACGACAACCCTATTGTATGACCTAGATATGTTGAAAGGCTTCCCTGACAATGTACGCGCGGCGTCGATGTGTCAGTTTATTATCTATAGATAGATAGTGACTGCCATTCAATAGTTTATTTACTTTAGGTACGACTTTAATGAATTTTAGAGAGTAAGAAAAAGCTGTACCTATATAAAAAATTGTCTATTTCATTTTTCTAAGATCATCTTTGGCTCATGTCCAATGTCCAAAATAGTTCTGCTATTTAAATTTTTTCACCTTATTTGTATTATTTAATCTCAAATTTAATAAAATTATGTTTCAATTAAAAAAAAATAGTTGAAATAATTATAGTTCATATTTTTATAAACCAACGATATAAAGATATAAATTATATAGCTAGTTGTAAGATTTTTTTAATAATATCAAGTTACGTTTCAAAAATAGATACATACATCACCATCGCACTTACGATTAGAGCACGTTAAATAAAACCTACGCAAGTTTATTCTCTAAATAAGGAAGTTCAGATTTGACACTTTTATACAATTTTTTTTTAATCTGAAAGAAATATGGTTGTGCTTCGTTTTTATGATCAGAAAACAAAACCAAATCTATCCCACGGGAACCGTACATTTTTCCGGGATAAAAAGTAGCCTATGTGTTATTCCAGACTATTAATACGCATTGATGCCGAGTTAAATGGTCAGCGAGTGTGTGTTTGTTTTGGGCATTGTCATATAGGAAAATCCAACTAAGTACTGACCAGAAAAACGAGGCAGAGCCAAAAATACATTCAATTATGAGTCTATGGGTCCATCTTCCAAAACATTTTAAACAAGCACAATATCCAATTAAATAGATCAGTGATTGAAAAAATTTTGTGCTCACAAAACAAAAGACTTTACTTTTTAAAAGATTAGACAGCTTACGTACCGCGCATGAGCATTATATCTAACTATATTTTTATACCTTTCATCGTGATCAATAACAGATTCTTGTGGTTGAACGTTGAGTTACTTTTAATGTAGTGATTATTTATGATATTTGATTTACATGCTAGCTTGAACGACTGCAGATCCAGAGATCACGGATTCGAGTCCCGTGCCGAGCCAAGTATAGTTTTCAGTAAGGGATTTTCTGTTGAGAAATTTTCAGTAACAACACATCGGGAAGTTGGCGGTTGGGAGATAGTCATCGGTCCTCATCGGCCGTGTCGAAATGTCGTACCATTGGATGATGAAATAGACATTACAGTATCTAACCACATATCTTGTCCGTATCTAAACACATTTGTGCACTACAATGTCTCCTGTGCATATGTCTTGTCTCACTTAGATTGTTTGTCGTAGCCGCAATCAGGAAGACATTATCATATATTATTAATGTATTAAGTCATAAGAATAACTATTGTGTAGGATTGACCTCGTATATAACTAAAAATATATAGTACATATACATACATATTTAACACCTAACATTCGAAATCCGTTTCTCATTACCTTTGTCAACACAACACCGTTCGTTTACCTAAAAATTACTTTAAGGTTAAATATATAAACATTATTACTTGCATTATATATATAATCAGTAAACATACGTATTACGTAGCTAAATGAACAAATCTGCTTTGTGTATTGATTTTAAATGGCGCGCGACACGACTGGATATTGTGACAGAATTTTTTATAGCATTGTTTGCGCTTTAAGTACAAATTTTTACAATAAATGCTTTAAAAATATATAAATATCGCCTCCGTGGTTAGTTTCAGGGAAATCAATTGTTAACTGCCATGCCGCCATGTTCGCGACCGTTAAAGCGATATCTAATAATGTCCACCCGACTGATTTCCGCCACGGCGGTCCATCTCATTGAGACTAGCCATCTGCACAGGAGATAATATTATAATGGGCATGTGTGCGCGCAAACACAAGTGCACTCTCTAATCCTGTCACTCTCATACTCCCGTGGGACGACTACTCGACACGACCAGTGAGAGTTAAGGCGCAGGACCGACGGCTTTACGTGCTCTCCGAGGCTCGGGAATGAAAGACCACCAACTTAAAAACTCCGGGTTGTTACTGTGACTACCTTAACAGAAAGACTCAATAACCAAACTTGATCCGACTCGAGTCTCGAACCCAGGACCTCCAGATGTACAGCCGTATCCTAGCCACGACACCACCGAGGCAGTTAATAAATATTTAGTAGTTACGTAAAACGTCTGCTTTTGTTCCACTGGCATAATTAAAACACAAAGCAAATAAAGGCTTCTATTAATCTAGGAAGATCTTGTAGGTACATAATGATTTCGAAAACAATAATGCTGAGAGACTTTATGTATACATACGCACATTGCAAAGACAAAGTAGTAGGTATTTCTTTTATACCAGTCCTGAGATATCTACTGATTTACACGTGCATCTTTAGATTTTCGTAAAATATTTTCTTATTGAAAATTAATACCCCATGTTATTTCTCGAACATACAATGTTACATACACGCATTAAATACTAAATAATATCTTGAATCCTTTGAAAACCTATTCTCAGTCACATTTCGCCAACCATACATAACAAAAAATACCCTATAGTAAATCTTCTATAATAATACGTACCTTTTGCTTTATTTTAATTAAAGACAGCTTTGAAATAGAAATAGGAAAATTTTCATTATATACAAATTATACAATGAACTCACCTTCAAATATATTTTGGATGATCAGGTAACTCTGAGTCACCACGATGAGCAGAGCGACGTGGGTCCAGGCGAAGAGGCTGAATTGGCGCATATAATACCGCTTCACCAACGACAGGACGAACCAGACAAATCCAACGCAGTACAAACTGAACGATATGAAACGGTGGTAGGTGACCAGGAAACGGAGATAATCCTGAAAGATAACGTGATATTAACATTACGTGTTATAACTTATAGGGTCTAACTACCTACTGTATAATTAGAGGAGTGTTGAATACGTAAATATACCTATTGTACAAACATATTATTTATTTCTTTAATTTTCTGAAAGGTTTTACTTTTTTTTTAATATACAGTCAAGATTCATTTCTCCTTTCATATTCACACACGATGTTTCGTCTTCTGTTTAATTATTACATTATTATTATAAAGATAAATCACAAACATACTTATTTATATACTACTAGCAGAACCCGCGGCTTCGCTCGCACTAAAACTACAAAAAATATCTAAAAAAAGCCGGTTCATACAAACTTTCATCCTCTATTTTACCCCGAATAGGATATATTTCGAAAAATGCTAAAACAAGTATTTATTTAATTGAATTAAAGAGCATTAATACCAAGTTTCAAGTAATTCTAATTATAAATATTATTTATTGGATTGTATTATAACGTGTTTCCCGTGGGAATTAAATCTCCCGCGGCAAAAAGTAGCCTATGTCACTCTCCAGCCCTCCAACTATCTTCACACAAAAAATCACACCAATCGGACACTCTGTTTCTTCGTGAAAGAAGGACAAACAAACAAACACACTTTAACATTTATAATATTAAGTATAGAAAGAAGTATGGATTCATATTTTACAAAATATGAAACTATTTTTTTTTTACAAATCAAACTCTTTGGTTACAACGTTGTAGAAATAAAGGTAGAGGTATTGTTATATACATAAAAATGCAATAAAAGTCAACTATAAATCTAAATGTTATTTGATAATTAATCATTTCATTCACAGCACTAAATAGGTACTTGGTTGAGAACGTAAAGACAATGCTGTTATACAGCATGTTGCTATATGGTATATTTTGATGAAGCAATATTAATCTTGCGAATGTGCAGTTATGCAAGGCCATTACCACTGAACAGAATACCTAAATTAAATCCATGTTCACAATACACGATTTTAACCTGATACAGCAGCCTTCTGTAAAATGGTAGCATTTAGTAACGATACTTTTATCAGAGTACGGTAAAACTAAAAAGTAAAGGAAATTTTATACAGAAGTAAATTATAATAATTTCGATAACAAATTAATAATTTGTTTGTATGTATAAATAATATCTAAGTTTTGTATAATATAAAAATAATATCTACGTTTTTCATAGACACGCTAATGAGCCTGCGGGCAAAATTTCTTGATAAAAATCGAACTCAGGACCTCCAAATCTGTAGTCCCACATGCTAGCCGTTAGATACTACGATAACTTTAATGCTTGCTGAATTCCGTTTTCACATATTTTCGTCGTTCTAAAAAATTGTATCAAGCTTTCGAAATAACATAATCAAACAGGATTAAAATTATATAATTTAGCCTACTATAATTGAAATAGATATAAGGATATTTACTTTTCTATGCAAATTCGTGCGATATCAATACTAATATTATATATGTGAAAGTGTGTTTGTTTGTTTGTCCTTCTTTCACGTCGAAATGCAGAAATGGATTGGCGTAATTTTTTTGTGTGGACATAGTTGGAAGGCTGGAGAGTGACATAGGATACTTTTTATCGCGGGATTTTACTTAATTCCCACGGAAAAACACGTTATATTACAATACAAAAAAAAACACAATTACTTGAAACTTGGTATATATACTCTTCAATAAAATTAAATAAACACATGTCTTGTTCTTGCATAGCATTTTTCAAAATTCATCCTATAAGGGGGTAAAATAGGCGATGAAAGTTTGTATGAAACTACCTTTTTAAAGTTTTTTTTTGTAGTTTTAGCGCAAGCGAAGCCGCGGGTTCTGCTAGTTTATGTAAATAAAATATCCTAAGCCTCTAATACATTCATGTAATGAACGTTTTACTTTAGTGATTTCCCATGAGAAAATTGTTTCCTATCCATACGCTAGTTAGTTATATTAAATGAAACCGTTGAAAACTTTGTATGATCACGCTATCATGTTACATACCTAGGTAGGCTGGTTGGTATATTAAGTTTATCGGATACTTCGCAAATCCCGTTAATTGATTTAACCTCGATTCTTATATCAAAATAAATTTAAACAACTTTGTCGACTTAACGTATATATATCGAGAACAAGAGAAACGGAAGCAGACATGTATCGATATTATACTCAAGGGAGGTATATTCGATTTTAATAACGTATTTTAAAGCAAGATCATTTTATTAGTCCTATTTACGACTTTCTTTAAACATGTCATAGTCAATGTTCTGAGTAGGTACTACTTACTTATAATTTTTTAATTTTTGCAAGAATATTGCATTATTTCAAGGTAAAATATAATGTAAATTACAAAATATATTTATCATTTACACATTATTATTTTATACTAAAACTTTATACTCTGTGTAATATCTATAGGTCGAATCTGTACATTAAATATTTTATGGAAAATCTAATTGAAATAGACATTATTATCGATACAGAGTCCGAATCTATAGTTTTTGAAATTTTTGTCTGTCTGTCTGTCTGTTACCGCATCACGAGAAAACCACTGGACTAATTTTGATGAAATTTGGTACGATGATAGCTGGTTATTCGGGTCAACATATAGGATACAATACAATAGATACTTTAAAATTAGGTCATTTGCTTGACCCTATTTACGATATTTACTAGAGCATGTGTAAGCAATGGCTATTTTTATTTTTCCTTATCCTATCAGTTCAGTTGTGTTAGTAGGTGTAATAAAAACTAGCGACTCACCCTCGCTTCACCCGAGTTCGTCCCTGTTTCTTTGTAATAACATTACTTTTTTATTTATAAACGGATTGAAATAAAGACATACTGAATGTTAAGTAAAGCTTGCCACAATACATTAGTGAAAACTGCTCTCAAATCGGTTAACCCGTTTCTGATATTAGCACGCACAAACGCACAGACAAACAGACACGTCATTAAAAATACTTGTTTTGGGATCTATTGCGTTAATAATGATGCTTTTCTCAAATATCTTCCATGTACAGACAGCTACCAGTTACCTACATTTTTATTATAAACATGTACCTAGATGTGTATAAAAGCGAAAGTTCATATTTTTACCCGACTGCGCGACGCAAAGGAAGGTAATGTGTTTATTACATATTGCTTTAATTGCTTTATTACTCAACGACGATGTTACTAAGGTTGGCGGAAACGCCTGAAATGTAGAAACCAACAAAGCATACGAATGAATAAATACGATTTAAATATGTATGATATATTTTAAATTAAATAATCTATAAAATTAATAAAATTCTAACTGAGCCGAATCTGTACATTAAATATTTTTTGGAAAATTTTATTGAAATAGACATTATTATCGATACAAAGGTCAAATCTATAGATTTTAGAATTTTTGTCTGTCTGTCTGTCTGTCTGTTACCGCATCACGAAATAACTACTGGAGAGATTTTGATGAAATTTGGTATAATATGATATGATGTATATAATTTGGTATGATGATAGCTGGTTATCCGCGTCAACATATAGGAAACTTTTTACTGCTGGAAAATATCTCATCTCTGAGAAATCGATACTAAACGTTAAAACTAAAGTAGGAACGAACCCGAGCAAAGAGAGGGTGAGTCGCTATTGTTATATAAACAATTAATGAAAAATATATTAGGTACAATGTTTTTTTTAACACCGAAAATATAAAGCGTTATATGAATTAGGTATTATTAATGTCGATAATACCGTAAAAAACTACAATGCATATGCATATGGCATAACAATCTTAACGAACTAAATTGGACGGCGATAGCCAGAACAATGAAAACAAATTGTTTGCCATTCGATAGCTGTATATAAATTAATATATTACTCCGTCACAAAAACCCGATTTATTTTATAGATCAATGAATATTCACGACATTAGAATCTCATTAGTCAATTTGTTAATACATACATAATTTAATTACCTAAAGTAGCTTATTTTTTTACCGACTTCCAAATAAGAGGAGGTTCTCTGTTGGTCTGTATGTGTCTTTTTTATGTATGTTCAATGGCTTGACCGATTTTACTACTTTAAACTGTATGGTGTGGTCCCATAAAATTTTCTTTGACATATAGTACCTACACCTTTTTCGAAGAAAATCAGGAAACCACGACATTTGAAGTATAGTAATAGGTCTAATTAGGCACTACTTCGAAAATATCTGATTAAGTATCTATAGTAAATGAAAACTCCCTATCTGTGTTTTTTAATTTTTTTTGTGTTTAGAAAAGAGTTTTTTTTTATTTTTTTAATATCTAGATGTAATTTTTTTTGTTAATTATTTACTTGAATGCATTATGTATTTAATATAAGTGGCTATATCCAATTTTAAAAATAGGTAGATATTAAATGTCAGATAATTCAATAAATAAGTAATTTATTTATTTTATTAGATACAATGTACCGGGAAATATTCTTAGGCATAAAATTGTCAGTTCTTTGAGTACCTACTACTTTCTTACTTTTTAATGTTTTAACTACAATAAACATAGGTATATATAGCCTTTAAAGGCTACAGCATTGTGTCAATTTTTATATTTTATATTAATACCTACACATTATAAGATGTAATAAAATTTTATCCTCCGTATAATATGTGTATCTACAAAAATCCATAGATGTCATTACATTAAGTAGATATGGGTTCTCCTACTTCACGTTATATCATATATATATAATAATCTATACCTACATAAAATAAAATTGTAACTAAGCCGAATCAGTACATTAAATACTTTTTGGAAAATCTTATTGAAATAGACATTATTATCGATACAGAGGCCGAATCTATAGTTTTTAGAATTTTTGTCTGTCTGTTACCGCATCACTGAAAAACCACTGGAGGGATTTTGATGAAATTTGGTATGCTGATAGCTGGTTATTCGGGTCAACATATAGGATAGTTTTTACCGCGGGAAAATATCTATATTATTTCTTCTTATTTATATTTATCTATCTTATTTCTAAGAAAAAATACTAAAACTGCACTGTAAGAGTATACTTATATGTAAAACCTAAGAATTTGCTTTTTGGTCATCTGAACGCGGGCGGAGCCGCGGGCAATGCTAGTATATTATATATACCTTAATACTTTCTTAGATTTACGCGAATATTTGACATTTTAAATAAAACTATCTCATCTGATTTTATCGCGAATTTCTTTAGATTTTTGGTTCCCTATGTTTCGAATGCTTTACAGCAAAAATCAAAATAAGCCCACGAAAAAATCCTAATAAAAGAGTTTTATTTAAGATATATTTCTTGTAAGGACTAATCTAATTTGTATAATAAATACAACATATTCATCACTTGCAACATTTTACACTCACAAAAACCGATATTCCTGGTATCGGTAAATTTTATAATTTTTTAATGAAATATATGAGTATATGTATGTATATGAATGGCTTTGCATTTTTTACATGAAATACCCCCTTAAGAATTTATTAATCAGTTTTTCTTCTATTCTTTATTCTACTGAAAGCCTGAAATATACAATTAGAATATATCTTTCTCACTGCAATTATCTATGAATTAAGACAAAAAACTAACAAAATATGCATAATGGATTAGGTACTGGCCTGTTTGGATTTACTTACATATATATATACTTTAATATATTATTATCAAAAATTACAAAAAAATCTGTAAATCTACCGCCTTAACAATAAACAATACAGAGAGATACAACTGCCATAAGATGTTTATTTACAAAGTCATTCAGTAATAAGTGTTTATAATCAAAGGTAATTAAGGTGCTACTATACATTTATCTTAAGTATTACACTTTAAGTGCTACACATAATATGTTGTATGTAGCAATATGAGAACACTTTAGAATTTCTTTCCTGCAATCTGCAATAATCACCATTAAATATTGGTATTACACGTTTATTATTATAAAAATAAAAACCCAACTGCATTTTATTTATTTATTTATTTATTTACAGCCTTTTAAATATTTTTAAGTAGGAAAATTAGCGAGAATGGTTGTTAACCAACTTTAAATACCTATTCAACGATACCCCACTAGACATAGTTCTTCAATTTTCATTTTTTTTCTTTTTCATATTATGGCATCCAAAATCGGCCATTTTGATTTACCCAAATTTTTATGCTCTCTAAAGCATTCGCGCCGTCATGACGAATCAAACGATCTGTCATTTATCAAAATCGCCCCACGCGTTTTGTCTAGTGCCACAAAGGTACAAACCCACATACATACATAAGCTGATAAACACACCCTTTGCGTCGAGCAGTAGGGTAAAAAAGCAAAAAATATTCCATTATCACAAAATTGTAGTTTCGTTTTTTAATAATGACAATGAATGAAATGTTTTTTACGAAATATAAAACAAATTAACATAACAAATAATTCAAAAAGACTTACCGTTCTATTAATCACAACACCGAAATAATCAATCAAGTTCTCCCCATAAAGGAAGTAGTTGGATGTAAGTAAGAAGTACCAAGAGAGGGAGCGGAACCATGGCAGGCCATGCACTCTGTACACAGCATATCCAATATTGATGATTTCTTCAAAACATTTCACTTGCACACATAGTACCTAAAGAAAAAATTAAATTCAGTACATAAAGAACAACTACATTAGTATTAATATATATAAATGAAAGTTATTACAAACATTAAAATATACAATGAAGAATTTTTGTTAAAGAAGTAATAAGTAATTAAAGGTATTATTATTAAAAGCTTTATAATAAAAAAACTTACTGTTATCATCAGAGCCAAAGGTCCACCATAAATGAGTAAACAGAATCCCCCAATCATCAGCCAGGTAAAGATTCCTCGTATTACCCAGTTCCTCCATCTAATATTGAAGTACAGATTTTAAAATCTTACTTGAGATAATGTTTATAGAAACATGTATTTATTGCTTTAAAAGATTTTAACAAAAGAAATAATATACATTAGATGTATGGTATGTACTGATATTTATGGATACACAATAATAATTAAAATTAAAAAGAAGCAAAAATAACCAGGAAGCCTTTCTGATATTTATTAGAAACAATTATTATATTATTTTTATAAAATTGTTCACTTACCGTGAAGATAATCCAGAGAGCGCCGAATCCAGAATCTCAGGAGTTTTATCAGTTCCTTGAGGCAATGATTTCGCTAGTTCATCCACATACTTTTCTTCTAAAACCTTCTCCTCTTCGGAATCCACCTGGTGAGCCAACATCAACAATAAGGTATTTATTGCAACACAGTATTAATTAACAAACTCGTTTATAGAATTGAAATAAATAATTATTAATACATGATCAGATTCTCCAGCAGTTTCCACTTTTTCGTTACCGTCTCCGTCAGCTCGACGCTGCCTCAATTCACTCATGTTAACTCACAAAACTTTAATCACACCTATTAACAAGTAATACTAGTGCGAATAAAATATTTTATCCTTAGAGCAAAACTATGTTCGATGTTTTTCATTTGAAGCCAGTTGTCAAACGAAAAATCAATATTCAAGTTCACTAATCACTTTTTTAATTCGGTCTAGCCATAGGTACTAGATCTCTTGTTATCTTCCGTGGAAAATACAATTCCTGTTCATATTCATTTTTAATTTTATAAAGTATAAGTAGGTACTTTCTAATTTTTAATTAAGAAAATACCTAACATTAAAGTTTGTAAATAATGGAGTAGAATTTTCCGGTTTGCCTTTTATCCCGTCAGATGTCGCGATCCTTATGGCCCTCATTATGTTGTAGAGCTCTAAAGCATGGATGGTTTTTTTTTTATTTAAAATTTAATTAAAAATTAAAATAACAAATTGTGCCGTGCCCGGAAGCAAAGAAAATATATATCTTTAATTGTTCCTAAAAGACAAAAACTGAAGAAATTGTGGGCTAATCAATAAGATGACCAAAATTGGCGAAATCACAATTTTTATATTTATGGCTGATGGTGATGTTAAACTTTTAAATTATCTACAGGTGATTTTTTTATTTTTTATACATTTTTACATATTAATTACAGAGTTTCATGCAAACTTACATCCCCCAATTTACTCCCTTATGGATTGAATTTCGAAACATGTTAAAACACGTATTTAATTAATTGTATAGAAAAGCAATAGTACCAAGTTTCAAGTAAGTAATTCTGATAATAAATAATTCTTTGCCCTACTTTTTTATAAAACAAAGTTTTTTATCGTAAAAAAAAATTATTTTTAATAATAATAATAATAATAAATCTCTTTAATTCGGAATACTTTTCCATGAAATTAAATTACAAACAAAATAAAATTACAAATTAAATGAACTCTATTACCTCCTTTTACCCCTTTAAGGATGAAATTCAAAGAAAATCCACCATTTTTTTATTTCCCATTAAGAATGACAGTTTCATACAATCTTTAATCCCCTATTGTACCCACTTGAATTTCGAAAAAATCTTTCTTTTCGGATGCCTAATAAGGAATACGTCCTCCAAATTTCACGTTTCTATGACCAGCAGTTTAGTTTGTGTGTTGTTCCATCAGTCAGTGAGGACCACCGCAGTATGCACCTCTCCTTTTGAATTCTTCCTTCAGCTGGTTTAACTTCCAGGTAGTAAAATACATTGCACAGATAATATATAACACAATAGAAGCAAAATTAATTATTACTTATATAATTAATTATTAAATAACTAATGTATGAGTATTATAAAAAATATAAAAGTTATGGTAGCAGGCTATGGCTTAAAAGACTGTCGTCTACATTTTACATTTTACCTTGACAACTGACATTTCCAGTATGATTAAAAAAATATCTTAGTAACAACAACAAATATGGCGAGTGATTCTGACAATTTCGAGGAAAATATCGAAAATGTAAGTATTTTTATTAAGTTGTGTATTATCTTATTACTATAATAAATGTGCAGTTAATAATATAATTCTTTTTAGATAAAAGCGACAGTTCGAAAATCTTTTGCTCGCATTTATGCGAGTTTGAAAGCCAGGGAACTAAAAACATTAAGACAACTTGATGCTATTCGGAAACAATGCGAGAATAACAAAGACTTCGAAAGAAATTGTGTTCAGAATATTAAAATATGCTATAGTAATGAGTCCAGTTTATTAGATTATATTAACAATTATGGTGTAATTGATTTTGAAAGACTTAGTTTTGATAATAATACTTTTATATTAGAAGACTATATTAGTCCAAACGATGATCATATGTACTCTTATAAAACAATAGAAGAATTAACTGAGAAAGAAGATCTAGACGAATTGGAAGCTATAGAAGAAGCTGCATTGAAACAGGTTACGGAAACTGTGGATTGTGTATGCTATGTCAATGTTCAAACAGAAGAAGTTTCAAAACAATTTAGAAATTTAGATACTAAAGTCAGTCAAGTTAACAATTCCATTAGTAATAATGAAGACTGTGTTGATAGTCGTAAAGAAACAGAATGTGAAGGACTTAATTCTGACGAAGAAAAAAGTGAGTGTTCCGATTCAGATGTAAAAAAAATTAATCCTACTGATGACTGGCTGAATTCTATTAAAGATCAGACTGAAACTGAGCCGTCACAAGTAAATGATGTAATGGAGCATAGTACTATAACTTGCTCTTAGTTATGATATATGATATTTTAATCAATACTTTAAAATGCATTTAATAAAGTTTTCTATTTTATATAACCTTTGTTTAAAAGGCTGTATTTTTTTTATTTTATACAACATGATGTCACAAGGTATATAGGAATAAATGAAACAAATAAATTAAAGCATCAACTTATATTGTTAATACATTTTTTACAAATGGCGTTACTGAATACTTAACCCTAGTATGCATTGACTTCCGATTATATTCTCTAATGAATAAATATTACCCTTTATTTATGCTTCACTTTAAGTGCAGCAAACAAATAAACATAATGGTCGCCAATTTTCCAAAATCATACCAACGGTTTGATTCACATTTCATAACATTATGGTTTTATGGCACTTATACATGACATACATTTACATAACACCCCTATAAATTCCCATCTTTGGATGGAATCTGTTTTTCATAAAGAGATGTATTCTAGTTTGTACTCAACTTTTTCACTGGAAGCTGTGATGGCACAAACAGAAGTGCTAATGCGTGGAAAAAGTAAGTCCTAATGAAGTGAATAGATATGTGCTAAAGGCTAAATTTTAGTATACGCTAGTACTACAAATAGTGACAGGTTATAATCTAATACTTGATATAGGCACTAAATTCCTTTATGGATGGGTATTTTTAGGCCACCATTGTTTTGTATGAAGTAATTTATTGTCATACTCATCATTACTTTTGTTCTAGTATCAGTAGTTTGGTTAAACAAATTTTGGTAAGTTCTTTGAGTTTTGTAGTTTATTAATTACTATATAAGATCAGACAAGTGATTTTTTTATTGTTTAATCATTGTAATTTTATATAATAAATAAGTTAAAAGCTGGTAAGCTATCTCATCTTATGTGCCATACACTGCATCTGGATTACTGATACTAGATGTTACATTTGCAGTGAACTACAAACTAAGAATTTACCAAATGTTAATATGAATACTGAATGATATAAATTTCTACATTTAATGTTGTAGATAGGTTAGTAGACTAAAATCCATTAAAGGGATACATGAAAAAATTTCTAAAGGACAATTTTATAAGTTGGAGAGTATAAAAATCTCAAATGAGTACAAAGTCCGAACTAAATATAGCGTGTATCTATAGTATGTTATGAAGTTACAAATAAGTTTTTAACTAGCTTATATTGATCGATTAAGACTAATATTGTACATTTAAACAAAACAAACTGCCTAAATACTATACAAGGCCGAAGTCCGTACACACTGCAGCGACGTCGCGATTATTTTGCTTTTCCGAACCGTTGGCAGCCATATTTAACTCCACCAACGTGTCCACACTGTTTATACTGACCCCTTTCAATATCTTTTGTGCTGCTAAACTAGTAAAATTAAAGCTCAAATCGCTCAGGCTTGGAAAATTATAAAAATCATGATCTTTCTTACTATCCTGGCTGAGGCTGTACCGTTTCTGTTTGTTTTCTAAACAGTTTATTTTCTCCGTCGAGGTATTAATATCCTTAATCAATTCTTGATTTTTCAATGCAAGATTCGGTTCCGAACCTAGCACTGTCGGTTTTTGATCGATACCTTTCGTCAATAAATTTGCTATAGACTCTGAGCTCATTCTGTTGTGAACATTTGGAAGCCCATTTAACATTTGCAAAGCTGCAGCCTTTTTCAGCAAGTCGACGCTTTTTAATTCGCTATTCGAATTTATATTCGTATGTATTCCACTATTCGCCGATGTTAGTGAGTTTTTTTGGTATCTTAAATTACCCAAAGATCCGATTACGTTATCGTAACTTTTTGTCGGTGTCGACGGATTGCTATTGGCACTAGTTTCAATATTGTGGATGTTGTTATGAATAGCCGGAGAAGCCGGATTCGAAGCAACCTCATTAGTATTATTTAGCTGGTTCTTATATATAAAGCTATTGTTGTTCGCTGCGCCACCTATTTGTAAAGATAGTTTTCGATTATTATTCATACCCGTGTCGTTAATCGAATTCTTGTTGAATTTGTTTTCTTGTAGTTTTACAGGTTCCGGCTCTTGGTACATTTGTTTCTTTTTTTCAACGCAGACGTCAAATGAGGTTTCTTGCGGGTTTTTTGAGGTTTGATTAGTGACTCCATTTTGGGACACCGATACTACCTGTCTATCGTCGTTAATGATATAGATGTTGCTTCCATTAGTAGCTTCGGTAACTTTACCATTTTCAAACGTAATAACAGATCGGACAGGAGAATTTTGTACGTACACTTTGGTGTTGGTTCCGCCATTTTGTGACATGGTATTGGTAGTGACTTTTAGTGTAATAGAATTGTTTGAGTTGGAGCTAGCAAGCATAGCGGTCGTTGGATTTTCAACTTTAGACCCTAAAGTTTTGTTATGCAGAGGGGTTGCGGTTTTTTTGGGTGTATTTGGACAGTTTTTTGGCGAAGTTCTGGGGGAGGTACTCTTACCATTTTTTATTTCACCACCTACAATTGGAGGTTTTGTTCTATACTTATGTAAACTTTTTGGGGAACTTTGTAAACTTTGAACTTTAACAAGTGACTGCGCTCTGCTTAAACCTGTTCCATTACTATGACTAGGCGAAGGTTTAAGCGTGCGATCTGATATGTGCGATTCTAAACTAGAGTGGCCACTGCTGCTAGTTTGATAGCTTCTTTTTATCGGCGAATTTAGATCGGATGGACCGTTTTTACAGTCTTTTCTTGGTGTTCGAAGAATGTTCGATTCTAAACTAGATGGACCACTAGTAGACATTACATTATCGGAATAGTCCACACGTCTTAAGCTTCCATTAGGACTATCTCGTAACTTGGGTTCACTATTTCTTTGAGGTGATCCAAAATGATCTAAAATTGTTTTATTAGTAGAACTTCTGCTTAATGTCGATCTTGGAAGACTTCCAGAACTAGGGCTTGATTGCCTTATGGGTGAATGATCATATTGTATAGAAGTAGCTAATCCTGATTCGGTGGAAAGATGTCTTTTGTGCCTCCTTGGTAGTGTCGATGACCGATTGCTGATCTCCGAACCGTCATAGTACGATGATACAATTGAAGTTTGACTCTGCAGGGACTCCTGAAAGTAGATAATAAAAAAAAAAAATATATATAAATCGAACTCGCGAACTTGATGCGTACACATACAGTTATATAAAGATTTTCATAAGTATAATAGCAATAGAAAATTCAGGTATAATTAAGAAAGCCTTTAAGGCAGATACTTAGTACCAGCGCTTGCTCGCTTTGCTCAGTACGTCCGTAGATGCCTAACAATCTATTTGTTACTTCAGGTCATGGTCTATTTGTGGGTTAAATTTCATTAAAATCCATCCAGCCATTTCAACATGAAAGCGTAAGAAATATATATATAATACTAGCAGTACCCGCGGCTTCACCCGGGTTCAAACTACTAAAACTAACAAACTCTTTGACATGCCGACAGCAGCGCCACCTACCGGGTCCAATTGTGTTTTCAAACCATCCAGGAGCCCATTGAAATATACACACAAAATGTCATTCAAATCGGTCCAGCCCTTTAGGAGGAGTAAGGTGACAAACAAACGTACAGAAGAGTTATATGTGTAGGTTTATTAAGAATATGTGAACTTTTACATTTAGGTATATGAGTAGTCAAAAATATTCACCTTAGAGTCGGTTTGCGTTGCGACACAATGCAGATGTACCGCCTTCGAGTTGAACCACTCAGTGGGCGGGAACTGGGCAGAGAAGGTGCTCATCGCGCGGGTCTGCTTGCTGCGGCCGCTTCGTCTGAATAAGCGGGAGAGCAACGACACTTTCTCTGGAAATTATGAAATGAAAAGCAGTTATATAAATGGCCAAATATCTATAAACTTATGATTATCACTAAGATAAAGTTAATAAATCCATATCTATCCATAAATAGACAAAGATAAAACAGCTAATTTTTCTCCTCTGTTATTACTCGATTTTCTTTATTTTAATTTAATAGCTATTGACGAGTTCTAGTGTTATCAATAAAAATTGGATACAGTGGTTTTTATTGGTAAAATCTATTCATAAATGGTTATGATTGTGGTCGAATTTCAACCACTGGGCGCACTAGTAGGCAAAAAGATATATAAACAATCTTATTCTAATCAAATATACATACAAACATATTCTAAAACTACTATTTAAAGCAGCGCCTTAAGCAGCAACATATAAAAAAATTAAAAGAATGACATGCGAAAACAAAACTTACTAGGCGACGCAGATTCTACGCTTGGAGGATAATCGGTGGAAGACGAGCTATCTGTTGTGTTGGCGTGTTTGTGGTGTAAGCTGCGTGTTGAAGCGCATCTCTGCAAGTACTTGCTAGATGAACCGAAGATCCTTAAGGAATGGCGACGGTCGAGGGAGCGGGGCGCAGGAAAAGACGCGCTGCGACGTTTGTTTGGTCTCCCGTACAGGATCTTGTCGTTGGGGTTACCTAGAAACAATGGGAATATTAATTTTTAATTCTATGTTTCTAAACAGATAGGCATATACTTAGGTACCTAGTTAAGGTCGTAAAAATAATTTATTATGTATTGATTAAAAAGGCACGAATATAAGTAAATGTAGATATGTATGCAACTTTTCTATATAATTTTTTTACTTTCGCCAATAATAATGACATTTATATCATAATTATGACACTGTAAGAATTTTATTTAAGAAGAAAACAACTCGCTAAGCCATATCGAACCAAAGATATTGTGTTTGCTATTCCTTTTTATTAGGCGTTCTTTTTTTATAAATACGTTGGATCGTTATGTTGGATTGATAAGTATCCTTTAAACGTGCTTAGCGATGTGCCTACTTTTTTTGCAGTAGATACAAATGACGTGTGAACGGTTCTAAGTACAAGACCAATAAACGTGCAGTACAATGCTGTGTGAATCCAGTCCGCTACTAAATACACTCCATGTCAATATTTATAAAATAGCTGAATTATAATCAATTTCGTATATTTTCTGAGGACGCAATTATATATTAGATATGTTTTATAGAAGCAAGTACAAACCATTGATGTCGTTATAATAAGACTTTTATATATAATGAAATTAATACATTATTCACCAACATATCGAACAAGGCTAAGTAAATATTTATTGTAGATTTCAACTGTACATACATGTAATGTGAGGAAATTCCGCATTGGCACATTACACATAAAGTGTAAATCTTTATGGGCAAGTCAGTGACTTACATTATTAAATTTCGTACGAGCGTAATAATTGTATGTAAAACATAAAGTTATATTGGAACGTGGATAGCTTTCAATTTATACTGGAAATATATTAAAACGTCCTACAAGGTAAGCTGAGTTAAACGCTGAGCTGAATTTATGAATTTTTGTAGCATAACCTTCATGATTAAAGTTATTTTAATTAAAATATTACATATACACACATAATACATAAATATACTATGTAACTTTATTGGAAGTTGATTACACTTTTTCAGTATTGTTAAGTTGGTTAATTTTTGTGTAAGTTATTTGGGCATTATTTTTACTGACTTCTTTATATTGTTACCATTATAACCAAATTAGGTACATGTGGAGTTTACCTTTAAGTAATTGTTACACCGTTACAAGAATATCAAAGATTGTATACCTACTGATTATATAAATCGTGTAAACAATTGTTGGTGAACCTAGAAAAATAAATAAAAAAAAAGAAATATGTAAAATCAAGCACCACAAACAAATCTGACGAATAGCATCAATACTTTATAGGATAGGATAGACACAGGGATTAGAAAATCCTAGCATAATCTGGAGATCACAGGTTCGAGGCTTTTACAAAGCAAACATCTATTTACTATGTCCGATATATCGAAATACGTTAAATTTTTGCAGTTTTTTAGATGATTGAAACGGACTTTTATCAAACATGCCGCACTAAATAGAGAAAATATTGTAGAAATTTTATAACTTACTACTAAGAATGCTCTGCAAATAAATTATTTATCTAAATCAAATTAAATGTCCAAATTCCTTCCCAAAATACTCTAAACTAAAAGCAGCTGATGCATCTCACGCATGTGACTCACAAAGAGCCGCAGATGTTCCAATAAATCACCCGTGAACTTGACAGTCGATTCGATGTATTGTTGCATTTTATTTGCAATGCGCGATAATAAAATAAGCATGAAATTAGTGTGGTGTAGTGATTGCATTAACTAATTCTCATATTAACAAGTAGCGAAGTGTATCAACTTGGTACTTCATTTATTTTTAGATCAAACCTTTATGGTTAATACAAAATATACAGGAGATACATAATATAAATAAATCGGTCAAGTGCGAGTCGAATTCGCACACGAAGGGTTCCGTACCATTTGTATCCTACAAATATACGGATATATGACTAATAATATGACTTTCACTCTACGTATGTAGTATATTAAGTTCGATGATCGATTACGAACGTTAAAAAAGTGTATCCTATATTTTTATTTATTTTTATTATTTTTTAATTATTTTTATTATTTGTTGTTATAGCAGCAATAGAAATACATACTCTGTGAAAATTTCAACTCTCTACCTATTACTGTTCATGAGATACAGCCGTCTGACAGTATAACAGACAGCGGAGGCTTGGTAATAGAGTTCTGTTGGTACCCTTCGGGTACGGAACTCTAAACACTAAACAGATAGTGCTACATTTAGTATAATCGTGAAGAGGAAAATTGGTTACGGAGTGATAGGTATGTACTATATCACTTTTTCAGGCGAAATAAACCTCGCAATTAAACAACGCTGATGATGAAATTACCTAAAATACTGAAACCATAAGAGTATTTTAAATATTTATCATGAATGTTATTATATAAACAACGATTTCTCCTTACAAAATAAAGCTAGTGAATATTATGAATTTTCACTTTATAAGATGTTTATCTTTCTTTTGTAACACAAAGCCATTCCAAAATATATTGCCTATGGGCGAAAAGCCAAGTTATAATAATTTAAATCACTTTAAATCAATTATTTGCTAATTTATCCCTCATTTGCAACCTTTGTAAACAGCTTCGTATCGTCATTCCAGTGGAATCCCTCTCCATTAAAATACCGTCCTGCGTTCCGTTACACTTACAGAAATAAACCGGTATGTCACACGCCGTTTTAAACCACAATTGAAACAAAATAACTTGCAGACATTTCAGTTTTTGCAAGTACATAAACAAGTAAATATCTATAAGTTTACTAATATGTGAAATAAAGATATAAACATGAGACTTAAGAAAAAATTATAACGCTGCTTTACGCTTCATTTTATTTTTTAATATACAATAACAAATGGACTGCTGTATGGTTTTAAATGACTCTTTCTTTTTCAAGTGGCCTTATGATAATATTCCCTATACAATTTAACATTATTTGTGAAATAAAAAAAAAGAAAAATATAAATCCCTACTAGACTAGACTTTTTTCCAACAACATTCGCTACAGTCAATAAGCTGTCACCATCTGCTATTGACATCTTGTCGTTGCCATTTCAGTTGCAAGAGCACTCGACAATGTTGTCAAGTGTTTTGATCGACTCCAGTCTAGTTGTCAAGTGTTTTGATCGACTCCAGTCTACACTGTTGACGCTCCCGTTAGCGTTTCAGACAAAAGAACACTTTTCACTTTTCGTCCTTTTACTTGTGACAATCTACGGCTGCTCTGAAGAAAACCAAATTGTCAATCGATAGATAACAAATAAAATGAGATATGTCAATAACAATAATCGATTTTTTAATCTTTAATAATATTTTTTTCAGATTTTAAGCCAGGAGTGCACTGTGCCAATTAAGTACACATGCACATTTATTATAATAAAAATATATTGTAAATTATCATAATATACAAAAAACTATGTGTGGACTGCCTCAAGTCCCAAATCTGTAGCCCAACATATTTTTCGCTTTTCGTCTATTTACCTAGTGACACTATAGTGATATGGAAAAACTTCATTCAATCTTTAACAGAGATGATATTCTCGTGCATTTTCATCACAAACAAGTAGTTCTGTCGACTGTTAAGCCTTTCGTCGTTTTAGTACTTTCCTAGAGAGCGCTTGAGTCTACTGCTACGATGTAAAGTGTTTGATCGAATGTTGCTGTTGCATTTAGAATGAAATATGCACAAACAATGTTTCTTGTTAAATGAAAGTAATATTGTGATAAATATTTTAAACGTATATTGTATATCTCAATCTGGATATAAAATTATTAAAGACGGCACCACCCTGTTGAAAAACTCCAATAGAATCCCATCAAAAGCGACAAAAACCACATAGAAACTAATAAATATGTATTGGTTTCTATGTGGCTTTTGTCGCTTTTGATGGGATCCTATTGGAGTTTTTTAATAGGGCAGAACCACTTGAAGAACATCGTTCAAATAATAATGATATTATTATTAATAAAAATATTTTTTAAATATTTCTCCCTCAGATATCTCCGTCTATCTATATATTAAAAATAGAAAGAGCAGGACTAAACAAAATAATAGCTGTTTCAGTTTATTCCAATCATAAACATATTACAAAACTAAATATTTAGAGTTCACCTCTATATAGATATGTACATACATCCGATAACGATAAAAATACGTACATGACTCACTCAAAATAATAAAATGTAATTATATTCAAAACAATCTTTTGCATTTAAACTTATTTCTACTTCTCTATCTTTCAATATGAAACAATTCGTATCAATAAAATTTTAAATTAGGTTATTTTAGCAATTTGAAATATTTTATTTATCCATAAAACTCAAAAATTCTCATAAAAGATACAAAATTGGTTATTTTTACATTAACGGCTGGCGCCACAGTTTTTGTAGATTTAATTGATGACGATAATAAAAGGTCTAAAAGGGATCGAAATCCATATTAATTATTAGTGTTAACCGGCTCAGTAACAGTAATATTTATACATAAACACCTTATACGGATATGTTTTACTTAAATATATATGAAATTTTTACAAAATGTACACAAGTTTATTTTCTTCCTATGTGAATGTAAGGCAGAGAGACCTAAAGGTTATCAACCTACAATGTAAGTATTTAAAACCTAAGAACAGTGAAAAAGAAATGATAACGAGTGTATTTTACATTCATATAGTTAATGATTACGTGGCATTATGTACCTATACGAGTATAGATAATATGTGGCATTTGAATCACGGTAATATTACATATAACATTACCATGTTTAAATATACCTAATACTTGGAAAAACATTGTTAATAACTTAATAAGTCTAAATACTTGCTGCACAAATAACAATAGCATTTTTTATTAATTCATTTTTATTTCTTATTAGTAACAATATTATGTTTCTTGTTATTTAACCGAAATAATAAAATAAAATAATAATATAAAAAAAAAGTAACAAATAACTTTAGAATTTTACTTTTAAATAGTTTTAATTTAGTAACATTACTA